AAGTGTACACGCCCTATAGCAAAAACCTCTTTTAAAAAAAATGTTGCTATAGGGCATGGGCACTCTCCATAGAGAGAGAAAGGGAGAAAACAAACCACCAGGTCTGAGACTTGAACTGCAATTGGCTGTGTGGGAGTTCAGCATCCCAGCCACCATACCACCGCTGGCTCAGGATTTAATTTTTATAAACGTTCATTTCTTCCATGAATGAGAGAGAGACAGAGAACACCCCAGCAGGGTCGTGACTCTGTGATCCACCCCAGCCCTCAGCCAGTCCTGGATCATGGTCAAATGCTACCTGGCATAACGAGAGAAGTCTTAAGCCAGGAACCTTCTCATGTGAGTAATCCTCGCAGAGCATTGCATTTTACTGCTGTGCCCCTATCTGCCCTAGAATTTAACTTTAATTACGTAAGTGCCACATTCATGTTATAAAATACTCAGTCCACAGGGACCAGCAGTTGGCATAACGGCTATGTCACTGGACACCCACATAGTCGACCATGGTTTGAGTTCCAGACCTGATGGCTTAAACCCACGCCAGGCACGTGTGCGTGTGTGCCCAAGATCCCGAGAGGAGAATGGAAGAGAAGGAATTGTGGCGTGGCCATCCCCCCTGGGGGGTGATTTCTCACTTTCTCTCTCTTTCTCTCTCTCTCTCTCTCTGTCTTTTCTGGTGAGTGCACGTACCCTATAGCTAAAACCTCTCAAAGAAAAACTCAGACAACATAGAAGTCTAAGTTCCTTTGGACAGTGTCCACACTCAAGTCCTCAACAGTGTCTGCTGTTTATCAGTTTGGGTGTATGTTCTGCCTGGAGTTTTCCATGCACATGAAATTGTTTTATGCACTTTGAGTGTTATCCTAAAGACATCTCACTTTCAAAGACTACATGGCTAAAATTTTGATTTTTACATCACTTAAAATGGAATTCCATATTTCATCAGATCTAAAATGTTAGAGACTTTTAACAGCATTGAAATATAGTAAGTATACTTCTTCAGAGTTTTATACTTGTACTGAGAATTATAGTTAGAGACCCCAAGCGGTAGACTTCATAAGCAAATGGATAGCAAACACTTCCTTTCACGTGGTTCTGATTCCATCTGTGTTTTTGGCAAGCAGTGATGTTAAGAGCAGATAATCTCCCTCAGTGGTTTTAGCTCAAAGCTGCCCACCCCCACCTCTCCCTTGGAGAGGGCCTTGGTCTGCGGCGGTCTACGTGGTAGACCCTGGATCTAGAGGGCTCTCAGGGCAGCCTGTGGTGTGCCGCTTCACCAACTCTGGTCACAGGAGCCCTGAAAGTGGAGTCTGCAGAAGGGGCCCCAGCAGACTTTTATTTGGCTCTTGCATTCCTTTTAAATTTTTTTGGTGTTTATCTAAGGCTATTTACAAGCTCTTGGGCAACTTTTAAATGAAATAACTTTGGGAGGTATTTGTGATAGTGGCAAATATGTTAAAACTTACTAATTAAAACCTTATACTTTGGAGCGTTATCAGATCAATGGCACCTGGAGAAAGTTCTTCTCAGTCAGAAGAATGGTGTGAAATGTCCCTTTACGGATGGAGTTCACTGAAGTCTGTGGGTGGCCACCGCCCTGTAGGGCTTCCCTGTGCCTTGCCACCACCTCTGCTGCACAGGCCAGAGCTCCTGATGGGCAGGAGCAGTGGGTCTTAGAAATGCCAGGTTCATGCATTCATGCTTAGCAGGCCCCCTCCGCCTTCCCCACTCTGCCTCTGTTCTTCCGTTTCCCATCCCCTCCAGCCTGACACCCTCACAGGGCTCACCTCCTGTCATCCAGGACTTCTGAGGTCTCCCACTTCATGGCAACACATTGGGGGTATCACTTAACCAACCACAAATATTGGGGCACAAAGAGCCCCATAAGACCAGTGGAACCTGTGGACACATTAGCGACTGACCAGAACCTGGCCACCCAAGGCAGCGCTGCCCTGGCTAGGTGTCCCTCTGCCGCCTGTACCATTCAGCTCCACAGGGGGCCTGGCACCGGTCAGCCCGAAGTCCCACCAGCACTTCCAGTGATCTCATTCTAGTTAGTACCTTTCCAGTGGACTAGAGGGCCAGGCCAGGAGAATTTGAAACCCCTGCAGCCTGGCCAAGTTCAAAATTGGTGACTGACTCAGAAGGGCAGCCCTGTCCCTTTTAAGTGCACTGGCCTGACTCAGGGATGACCACAGTTGAGGGTGATGGGCTGTCATTATATCTCTGCCCCTAGACATTGGCAAGACAAGACCTCTCTACAGAGATGAGAGGGACTGAGGCAGAGGTGGGTTCCCATGGGCCTTTCTGAACTTAGATCCCGGGGGAAGGGTCAGGCATCAGGCCAGCTGTTCCCAAGACCCGGGTAGGACACAGAGGTGCAGTGTGCATCTTCTCAGGAGCAGGGGTCAGCATCCTCTGCGGCTTCCCTGTCCACACTCCAGTGTGGCTTTTAGCACACAACATGTATTGTTTAATTGAAATTGCTAGCATTTAAAATTTATGAGTAGGAGATTTGCCAATCCCAGTTTCCAGTTTCTCAAGGGTCTGTCAGTTGGACCCTCATATCTGGGGCATGACCAACCCAATTTGTACCTCTAAGCACCCCTGGCAGCTGTACCCTTGGTGTGACCCACCTGGTCCCTGGTGTAGCTGAGGGATGAGACTTGTAGCTACCTCAAACAGTGCTTCTCTAAGACATGCTGAGCTTCCTCTGGGACTCTGCTTGACCACCGCTGGTGTCAGGGAGAGTTGATCTTAAAGCAACTATTCTATAGTTTCCAGATGTGTGTGACTAATACAGGACACAGCTCTGTATACTGGACATTCAGAAAACCCAGGGAGAAGCAGCTAGACTCTGCAGTCCCTTCAGGACTACCCTCCCCATGTGGGACTGTTTGCGTCCTTCCACATCCACCCTGGCCAATGCCGGAGGGAACGCACATTCATATCCCTGCTGCTGCAGCCCTGCAGCCTTGGCCCATCCTTACCTTCCAGCCTTTTCCTGTGGCTCTCAGTAGGACCATGCTCCCACCTCAAGAGCTGTCCAGGTACCCAGGAAGTGTAGACCTCCCTCCCAGAGGAAACACTGGACCTGCAGAGGCCCTGGGCTTCCTCAGGGAACAGTCAGAGTTCTCCTTCTGCTCTCCCAGTCCCCCTCCAGCCTGATGTCTGCAGCCAGCACTCCAAGAATCAAAGGCTAGGGAATGCGTTTGGACAGTGCTGCTGATAGAGACTAGGCTGTGTCTCAGCTAGAGTGAGACTTAGTGGTCCCATCACGGAAGGGAGGGAAGCAGAAGCTCCCCACTCTTCCTTGTCTCTCCCCAGACACCCTGTGACCAGCTGGCCCACCACTCCAACCCCTCCTCAGCCCTGGTGGTTAGGCTGGACTTTGGCACAGGTGCTGCAATGTGAGCTGTGTGGCAGGGGGCAGAGGCCAACCCAGTGCTGGGAGGGTTGTTTATTCCTTCCAGTGCCAGATTTTCTGGGCAGCCCACCCTGTCAGCTAGCTGGTGTGGGCCTAGAAGTAGATGAGGAGCTGGCCAGAGCAAGTAGCAGGTAAAGGCCAGACCCAGTAGGTGTCCATATTGTCCTCATCATTAAACTTCTCTCTCCTGGCACTTCAGCAGACCCAACTTAAACACACCTAAGCCTCTCACAGGCCTAACTCTGAGGGTCTTGGCTGTTCAGGCTTAACTGCCGGGAGCTCTGCTGGCACGTCTGCATACGTAGCACCTGCACAGCACGGTTGCCACTCTTCCCAGAGGAAGGAGGAGTCCATGGGCCCCACTTCCTCCCTGCTGGCTGCCCTGCATGTGACTACTGTGAGCCCTGCTTTATTTTCTGTCTTTATTTCAGATCGGGCAGACTTTGCTTGTTGCCTGCCCTTGGGCAGCTCCTGAAGTGACCCTTCCTGTAAATTACAGATCTGTTTTAAGGGGTGAGGGAGGAGCTGGAAAGAGCGGCTCTTCTGTTTTAGAAGATTCAGAAAGAAGCATGTTAATGGGAACACAAAGACTGTCCAAGAGTTTATAGGGGACCTGCTGAGGAGCCTGGGGCAAGGAGCAGGGGACAGGAAGGAGTGGGCCCATCTTGTTAGTTTTGTCTTGTTTTGTTTTTCCTGGGAACAGGGCCCTGAGAACTCTACGATGCGCAGGTGGGGACAGCCTGGAAACCTCTCTCCCTGTGTGGGCAGTGGCCGGGTTCCTGACCCTGACACCCCATGCCGTTTCCTTGTGGGCGCCTGGCCTACCTCAGAGCAAACACTAATGTTCTGGCTTTTTCCAGGAAAGACAAACTGTGCAGACAGCTGCTGGAACCATCTCAGCAGTCATCCCTCTCACCTTGACTGGGGTGGCCTGGCCGCCACTTGACACTCTTCAGTTTTGTATCTTCTTCAGTTTGTTAGTTTGGGAGGGGTTTGGCAGGAACCCCAGTCAGAGCGGGCTGCTTCTCTCTCTCCTGAGCCTTCACCAAGAGGACCCCTTAGGAGTGAGAAGGAGCTGCTGCCAATGTGTCCTGGGCTGCCCCTGAGCGTGTGGCACCAGGCGCTGTCCTTGGGATTGCTGCTTTCTGGTGGCGTGTCTGGTGCCAGGACAGGGCTTGTGTGCAGAGAAGAGTTCAACAAATACTTTTAAAGAAAGACTACATTATTAACCCCTGTAGCCTCCAGCTCTCCTGATGAGCTAACTTGACCCTCCCCTCTGCAGAGGGGACAGCTAGAGCCGCTACAAAGCATTTGGAGGGGAAGGAGTCTGTGGTTAACTTTGACACTTGTTGAACACGTCTCGCCCTTACCCACTGGACTTGTCCCTGTGCTTATCAGTTGTCTTCACCATAGTGCAGTCTCGGCCAAAATGTCATCTGCAGGTGGCCAAGCAAAGAATCCTTAGGGGACAGAGCTTTCTGCCCAGCTGTGGGTGAGGGAAGTACTGGAGAATGCATTTCTTGGCGATTTGTCCACCCTGAAAGCCTAACAGGCTGTTATTCTTGACTTTCAGGGAGAAGGAAGATGCGAGGTGGGGAAAGATGTGGTCCCTGAACTGTCTCCTGAGGAGAGAAGGGTCCTAGAAAGGAAGCTGAAGAAGGAACGGAAGAAAGAAGAGAAGAAACGCATGCGGGAGGCAGGCATCTCCGCAGCCCAGAGCCTGCAGGCCAAGCGCTCAGGGGCCGAGTTGGCCCTGGACTACCTCTGTGGGTAAGAAAGACTCTCTCTCCGTGGGCTCTCTTCCCAGCGTTGCTCTCTATGGCTTGGAATCGGCTGTAGTGGGAGTGTTCACAGCACAGAAAAAGGCAAGTGCTACAAATGGGGTCTCATACCTATACCGACACACCCCTGTGTAGCTGGTTCCAAAGTATGGGGAAGTCTGCGGGGACTAGGGCAGGCATATGTGGTTGCTGATCTGAAGGCTCACCATCTTTGGGTCCTTTTAGAAGTGCAGTTAGTCTCGGGACCAGCAGTTAGTGTAATGGCTATGTTGCTGGACTCCCATGTAGTCGACCACAGTTCTAGTCCCGAACTCGGCTTCAACTCATGCCTGGTGCATGTGCATGCGTGCCCAAGACCCCGAGAAGAGAATGGAGGAGAAGGGATTGCGGCGTGGCCATCCCCCCGGGGGGTGATTTCTCTCTCTCTGTCTCTCTGTCTCTCTCTGTCTGGCAAGTGCACACGCCCTATAGCAAAAAAATGATCAAAAAAAAAGAAGTGCAGTTAGTCTTCTGGGCAAGGAAAGTATCTTCCAATCTGACCATGGTCTCCCATGTTGTGGTCCAGGGTACCCACCTCAGAGTCCAAGTGTAGGACCCCAGCCCCACCCAAACTAATTGACTTGAAATCTCTGTCTTGGAGCCTTCCTTCATCCATTTGTTCAGTGTGTGTACCAAGTGCCTTCTGCGTTCCAAGCAGCAGAGAACAGTGAAGGCCCTGCTCTTAGGAGTTTATAAGGAAATTTCAGAAAGTTCACAGAGAGTGGAATTAAAATAATGGGTTTATTTTGGTGTAGAAATATTTAAAAATCCATGTATAGTTTTCTTAACCATATACATTTTCCATGAGCTTTTGAAGACTCCTCATACTTCTGGTGTGAGAGACAGAGGACCCAACAGTGAGTTAGAGATGCAACATTAGAAAGAGGTCAGGGTCCCAGGGAGAGGTGAAGGTGGAGGCAAGTAGACAGCGCCAGAGGATATATTGTGGTCCTTACCAGGGCAATGGGATGTTGGCACAGAGTGCAAGGAAGGAGGGAGCCCAGGAGGGGGAGGCCTAGGGGCCAGGGTAAACTGATGCACAGGATAGATGAGGACGGCTGGATCCTGGAAGGCCCCAGTCACAGTGTGGGTGGAGGAAGGGGAGGTGGTGGAGACAGCAGTGGAGAAGGCCCTGCGCAGGTTTGCACCCAAAAGAGGGGCACCCGGGGGACCAGACCAGAACTAGGCAGACGCTGGCTTGAGCTCCCCATCATTAGCTTACAGCTTTGTACAAGACTTTCTAGAGCTCTCTGGGAAAATGAGCTACTGTGAAATTGCAGATTTCTGTTTGCAAAGCAGCATTCTCAGGGAAGTAGAGTCACACACTCCAGCTGGGCTTCTCAGGAAATAGCTGCTTTTCCAGTCCACCACCCCCTAGTAAGAATGTGGCAGAGCTGACAGATCAGACCCAGGAGTCAGCCTTCTCTGAGACTGCCCACTATGCACAGTTTCACCATCCTACACATTTTCTTTAGGTAACAGCTTTACGAGGTACAGTTCACAGGTCACATAGTTCGTCCACCTAAAATGTACGATCCATGATTTCTAAATATATACAGAATTGTGAAACCATCACTACACTCAGTTTTACAACATTTTCATCACCTCAGAGAGAAATGATGTGCTCTTCAGAAGTCACCACCACTCCCCTACACACACACACACACCAACAGTCCCTCCCCTGGGCTCTGACAACTACTGATCCACTTTCTGCTTCTGTAGATGTGCCTTTTCTGGACATTTCATAGGAATGGAATCATACGTTACATGACTTTTTGTGGCTTCTTTCACCAAGCATGGTAGTGAGTCATCAGGAAAGAGAAGATGTATTATTTCTGTCTACCTGTGCAAAAAATGCACCATGACTTTTCCGACAACCCAGTATTTTCCGTTAGTCCACATTGTAGTGAGTCTTGCTCAGTAATCTACCAATGTGTAGAAATACCACCATTGGTTAGAGTTGTTGCCCCTTTTGGCTATCATGTGCAGTGCTGCTATGAATATCTGTGTTCATGTTTTTGTGTGTACATACATTCACATTTCTGTTTGCTGTGTACCTACAGAAGGAATTGCCGGGTCCATGGTAGCTCCATGTTTAATCCTTTGGGGAACTGCATATTTTGCCACAGTAGCTGCATTTCACGTTCCCACCAATAGAGGTTCCAGTTTCTCCACATCCTACTCTGGCTGTTGGTGTCTGACTTTTTTATGGCTGCCCTAGTGGGTGTGGGTGATAGCTAGATGTGGTTTTGATTTGCATTCTGGTAGTTTTCTTTGTGTTTGTTTTAATTGACACATAATACCTGTGTGTATAGATGGGGTATAATGTAATTTTCAATACAAGATTACAATGTGTAGTGATCAAATCAGTAATTAGTGTAATCATCTCAGACATATATCTTGTCAAAATTCTCTCTTAGCTAATCTGAGCTATATAATAAATTGTTAGGGGACCAGCAGTTAGCGTAATGGCTATGTCGCTGGACTCCCATGTAGTTGACCGTGGTTTGAGTCCCAGACCCGGTGGCTTAAACTCACACCAGGCGTGTGTGCGTGCATACCCAGGATCCCGAGAGGAGAATGGAGGAGAAGGGATTGTGGCGTGGCCATACCCCTGGGGGGTGATTTCTCACTTTCTATCTCTATGTCTCTGTCTTTCTGGCGAGCACACGCGCCCTACAGCAAAAACCTCTCCCCCCAAAAAAATAAATAAATAAATAAATAAATAGATTGTTAGTACTAGTTACCCTACTATACTGTATAAAACTGGAACTTGTTCTTATCTGTCTGTATTTTTTTTTAATCTGGTACAGGTTTAAATTCTAAATTTGGATGATATGGTAGGCAACTGAGCCGTCTCCTTGACTCCTCCCTGGAGATTATGTTGGACTTAGGGTCCATGTGGGAGAGGGAAGGCAGTTGGCCAGTGGCTCTTTGAATTCCATACAGTTTAGGAGTAGTGAGCTATCATAGGTGTGTCATTGGAAATGCCAAGCTGCCCTGGGAACAGTTTCTTCTGCATGGGTCTGGCCTTGCTCTGACACAGTCAGCAGCCTCCCTAACTGAGGCTGGGGCCTTCCCACCTCTTCCTGGAACCCTCTGCTGCACTTGAAGTTTCACATAGAGGCTCACGTAGGGAAAAAGGGGGGCCGACCCTCTTAGGGGAAGCAGCTGACACAGTTTCAGGATGAGAGGACTCAAGAGTGTGGTTCTTTCAGGATCACGAACCTTCCCACCTAGCAGAAAACTGAGCCGAGTTTTGACAGGAGCCTGCAGAGCACAGTGGCGGTGTTGATACCTCGTGCTTTAGGAATGTTCATGGGGCAGAAGCAAAATGAACCTTTGGGGAAAGGACTCAGAAGATAGTGTCCAGGGGACTAGCAGTTGGAGTAATGGCTATGTCTCTGGACTCCCACGAAGTCGACCGCGGTTCAAGTCCCGGACCTGGTTGCTTAAACCCACGCCGGGCACGTGTATGTGTGTGCCCAAGATCCCAAGAGAAGAATGGAGGAGAAGGGATTGCGGCATAGTCATCCCCCCTGGGGGGGGGGTGATTTCTCACTTTCTCTCTCTCTTTCTGGCGAGTGCACGCACCCTATAGCAAAAACCTCACAAAAAAAAAAAAAAAGAAGAAGATAGTATCCAGGACTGTTGGCATCCTCTGTAGCAGCCTCCACCACCTCCAAAGTTTTCAATGCCAACTCCTGCTGCCCCCGTGAGCGTAGGTGGAGTGCAGACTTCTGAGGGTGTGGTGCCCCGGAGTTAGGTAAGTCCCCTTTTACCCAGAATGATCTGGGGAAAGTCAGCCATGGGATACTGCAGGGGCATGTTTAAGGAAGTCACTTGCTCCCAAGAAGCTTTTCATAGTTTCGTTCATAAAGCAAAACCCATAATCAAAGAGTGTGTGCAGAGGATCTCTAGCTCTGATCACAGGTAAAACCAGCTTCGGGATGTGGTTTCCTACAAAGCTGGGGGACCAGAGTAGCTGGCAGCTTTTTCTGAGAGGACAGGGCTTCCAGACCACTCCACTTTCTCCACAGTCCCCCCTCAAGCCCTATCTCTGGGCTGTGTGCACCCCAACACAGTGTGCTGACCTTGGTTCAGGCCCTCGTAGATTCTCCCCACATTCTCTGACTGCTCTCCCTCAGCCTATAGGTTGGTGGTTCAGATTTGCTCTCCAGGGTGGCCCTTCCCAAGTGCAGTCAGACACAGCTTCCTTCAGGGTTCTTTTGCTCCTAGGATGGGGTGGAAGGCACTGCCCCACCTCCAGGATGGCAGCCTCTGGCCTCATCCCACTAGCTGGATCCCCTTCCCATCTGGCCCCACTGCCGTTCGCCTGTGCACACATTGCCCTCGGCTTCCTGCACTGTGATCAGGAATGCAGCTCTGACATACACTACAATGGGTACTACAGTCTGGCTCAGAGAAAGAAGCCAAACACAAATGGCCACATGCTGTGTGACTCCATCCATGTAAAATGTCGAGAACATGCAAATCCCTCGAGACAGACAGCAGGTTAGTGGTTACACCACCACCTCCCTCTGGGCTGCCACCAGCCTAGAGCCATGGAGACCGGGCCCGGAGAGCCTCACCTTCTCTTCCCCGTGGCTGTTTGAAGGTTGCTGGGTCCTCTTCCCACTCAGAGCTGGGAACCATTAGCTGCCCAACCTCAGGCTACTGTCTAGGTTGGGAGAGGGTCATTGGGATATACGGGATCTGCCTTCTCAGTTACCAGCTTCTGTGACTCTACATTGGTTCCGCCTATGCTTTTTTTCTGTGGGATTACTCTTCCTGTAGCACCCCCATGATGCCAGTGGATACCTCCACAGGGGCGCCTTAAGGTTGTCATCACCAGGTGGCTCACATGGTTCATCCTGGGGCACCACACTAAAAGCCATAGTGGAGTGGAGAAGTCCCAAACTGAGGTGGGGGTTGGGGGAGGTCTATCAG